CACCTGATGGAGGAGGAGAGGAGCCCAAGCCCACCAAAAACCAAACCACTGGAGATCCTGTCACTGAAAGCGATAAGGAACCACCCTTACCAGTCCTACAAGAGATAACTTCATCACCTTGACAAACGCATAAAACAACTGGGGGATCTACTCCCCCAACTTGGAGTCAAAGAAAATGCTTGGTGGATATGGACAAGAATGCCATTAAGGAGTGGGGACAGGAAGAAATTCCTGCTGTTCTTCTGCTAGCTATCATTACCATCATTAGCCAGCAGGTAAATGCTGCAGAAGCCCAGAACTTACTACATTGGGCTTTTGTGCCTCATCCACCTCTGCTTCATGCAGTTACCTGGAAAAGTCCACCAATATCAGTTTTTACTAATGACTCTTGAGCTGGTAGGAGGTCACTCCAGTGGACACCTGGTTCCTACTTTCACTAATTATAATTTTACAGGACAAGCTGTTGCTTTACCCATTTGTCTGGGGAATTTGCCTTATTTTCTCCCTCTCACGCCCATTTGGAAAAGTGCTCTGTTATGGAATGGCGCTCAGTTTCTTGATAAAAAACTAGAAGTTTTCAGCTTTAATGCCACTGAGTCATATAATGCTACACAGTGGCCTCACATTCCCCGCTGTCATGACAAGTGCAATCCCTGGTGCCCCCATAAGGGAGCCTCATGGGAACAATGTATATCTGCTTCTCCAATGCCTATTAATGTTAGACTACAAGCTTGTGTACTGGTCTTATAATGAACTTCTGAAACTAATATTATGGGGTACTGGACCAGCCCTTGGGTGGTACCAGACGGAGGAACCATTCAATCAGAATGTACTAGCTCGGAGCAGCTTGGAGCTGCTACTGCTAATGCCAGTCTAACTAGCCATTCAGACAGCTCTGTTATTAAAGGATTGCAAGCTTGTGTTCAACATCCTTTTGCTCTATTGCCTGGATCAATTAACATTTACAGAAAATAGAATATTTTTGATATCTCTTGTTCTAATTGCAACTTAACTTCATGTGTGGACAATTACATAAATGGCAGCCTACTTATAGTAAAACAAAGCCCCTGTATCTTGGTACCTACAAATTTCATGGGACCATGGTATCATGATAGAGGACTACAGGTTGCCAAAGAAATAAAATCATTATTAGTAATAGAAAAAGATTTGCAGGGCTCTTGATAGCAGGCATTGTGGTAGCCATCACTGCCATTGCCACCATGGCTACTGCTGCAGTAGCTCTCTCCCAAAGCATTCAAAATGCTCATTATGTTAATACATTAACACAAAAGGTCAGTTATGCCTTCCAACAAGTTGCTATAGATGAAAAACTGATATCCGCTTAAATTCTCTAGAAGCTGCTTTGCTGGCTAAGTGGGATGAAGTTCAAACGCTGAAATTCCATCAAGATTTACTGTGCTGTGCAGGCTTCCACCATATCTGTGCCACTGAGGCACCCTACAATGCCACAGACTTCCCATGGAAACTCGTTAAAGCACATGTCATGGGAGCCTGGGAAAACAACAATGACTCCTTTAACCTACAGCCTTAAGACAGCAAATTTCAGCCATGCAGCGAGCACACGATCAGGTGGCTACTCCTGCAGATATAGCAAAAACTATATTACTTGAATTACAAGGATTTAACCCTTTTAGTACTCTAAAATATTCTTTTTGGTATTTCATTGGCATTGCGTTACTAATGATTTGTTGTTTTTGCTTACTTTCAGTCAGAACTCGAAAGACCAAAAGGTGACTCCTCAGATTAGACATAGAAATACATCGGGAGCTTTTAAGAAATAGAGTAGGAGAGATGTTGGGGACCAGGCATGACCCTGGACTGGGATATAATGGAGTTTGCACAGCCTCTCCATGTAGGAGTTTGCACAGCCTCTTCTACCATAATTTTCCCAGTACCTGGTGTCTTGACCTTTGTTCTCACATCTCCTTAAAGAATACAACCTGCTGTGTCCGCACACCAGCCCCCTGATGCAAAACTAGATAAAGTACCAGAACTGTTAGGAGACTCCCTGATGCCAGATTAATCAATACCTTAGATAAGGTGTCCTGCGTGCTTTGATGGTTCCAGTACTGATGTGTTGTAATTAAGCTTCTGTAGCCTGAGGAAAATTAGCCCACCAAAACCTCATTCCCTTCACCTTGCATCAAGAATTGTTAAATCTTGATTTTTACCCGACTCTTTTCCTTGTACTGTCCTAATAAACACTCTGACTCAGGTAGGCACTCACATTTCCCATCAGGAACGTGCAACCCTCCCGTCCCCAGCTTTTCTGTTTTATGTCTTTATGTCTGTGTGCGTCTTATTTCTCACTCCCCGTCACTCTCAGTCAGGTTCACGCAGCATACCCATGCAGGCCAGGGCAATTATGCTAAAAAACAGCTAAGAGAAAACATGGGACACAGCGAGTCTAAGGAAAGAGGTTATAAGCAAGGTTTTAAAGAAGACTTCAGAAGCAAAGTTTTAAAGAACTGTAAAGGAGTAAGGCCTTAAAGAATGAAGATAGAGAAAGCAATGAGGGTTGTGCATCTCCACCCGAGCTCCCAAAATACCTGATCCCACTTTCTGTCTATGTTGCATCTCCGGTTGCCCCCAGTTAGCCCTGGTTAGGTTCAGTAATAACCAGGAGCAAGAGAAAGCTCACTCCAGCTACATATAAAAGGCAATTATAAAAACTCTAGACTAATAGAGAATATTTTTCATAATCCTCAAGTAATAAAGGCTTTTGAAACATGGAATAAAACCGTAAGCTAAAAGGGAATGACTGACAGATCTGGTGACATTCAAGTAAAAAGGGCTGTATATGGCAGAAACCTGCTGAAAAACCAAGTGACAGGCTGCGACAAGATGCTACCAATAATATGGCAAAGTGTCCTTACTTTATACTATTAAGAAATGCAAAGGAAACCACAGACAGAAAATACTTCAGTCAGCAGGGGTAACATTAGTTTCTAACAGTGGATTAAAACATTGTTTGTAAATTCTGTAATATTTCAAAAAGCAAAACTTGAATGTGCCATGTGCCAAGCACTAAGCAAATCTACATGAAGTCATGTGTTGGCACACACAGCTATAACCTTCTCTCTGCTAGTTCACATATCCTTAGTCTCCCCATCTTATTCCTGCACCATGTAGTTAGGCCTATTGTAGTTGTTTCTGTATTATAACATGTATAGACATTTTCTTGTCATTACTCCCAAAACAGCAGAGTGTAACAACTATTCACTTACCACTTACACAGTATTAAGTGTTTGTGTGTAAAACTATGTAAGGAAAAGGTGTGCACAGGTTAAAAGCAAATACTATGCCATTTTATATGAGGGACCTGAGCGTCTGTGGATTTTGGTGTCCTGGGGACTGAGGGTGTGGAAGGTCCCTGGAACCAATTCCCAGCAGATACTGAGGGCTGATAAAGGACTCATGTCTAGAATATACAAATAATTCCTACAAATCGTTAAGAAAAATACAAACGGGTCAACTTAATATTGAACTAATGACTTGAATGGGCGCTGCACAGAAGAATAATCAAGTGGCCAGTGTGCTGCAGCAGTGCTCACACGCATGAGGCACTACTACTCCTAGAGAACGCCAGCGTAAACCCACTCTGGAACACTGGCAGTTTCCACAAAATCTAAACATACGCTTGTACTACAACTCAGCCAGTTCAATCCTAAACCATACCCACGAGAAATGAGTGCATGCCTCTACAAAAAGAGACGTTCAAGGATACTCATTCCGGCTAAATTTACAATAGCAAAAGACCACAAATAATCAAATGCCAATTAAGAAAAAGACATGAGAGTCTATATGATAACATAAAAAGAAACACACAAGAACATAACTGAATCTCAGAGATATTTATGCCAAGTGAGGGAAGATATACATAAATAAATACAAACATTCTATGCTTCAGTTTATGTGAAGTTCAAATAACAGCAAAGGCTGATTGATACTGATAAAAGTGGAAGGGTGATAACCGCCTGTAAAGTATTACATAGACTGGGAAGGCACAGAAGGGAACCTACAAGGGTGGTACAATATTCTAAATCTTAACTTGAGGAAAGCTACATATAAAAAAATTATCCAGTTGTAGCCTGAAGAGCAACTATCTAGTAAAATGCACTTAAAAATTAGTATTAAAGAAACTACAATACAGGAGGTAAGAAATTATACTGAAAGTAGAGAATGGTAACTACATAGCAAAAAGGAATGAAAGATATTACAAAGTAATCCAAGAAAGTAAAAACGGTCAAAAGTCACATTAGAACATGCTTGGCTTTACTGGGAATCTAAGAAATATCCACGAAAACGTGTCAGGCGGCAAACACTGAGAAGGCTAATCAGAAGGCCAGGCTAGGCGACGTCAGGAGCACAGGGAGGGCAGTCACTATCTTTCAGATTGTTTGGTGTCACCCTTTTGGGTGGTAATTTGCAGTAACCATCTATATTTTATATTCCATGCCTTCTGCTTACGATAAATGGAAGCATCTCAACACCCACCAGTTTAATACAGTAATTAAGTAATTTAAATCACACCCAAATGATGACTACTATGTAGCCACTAAAAAGAAAGGTCTGTACTGATACAAAATGACATGTTAAGTGAAAAAAATTGTAATTACTATATCCAGTAATATGTTAAGTGGAAATAAGTTAAATAGAAATATCCAGTAAGACTCACTGGAATAGCATAAAACCAAAAGCTATGTGCTAATACACACAATCATAATGCACGTTGCTATAAATATATACACATATATTTATAATTACATATTATTAAACATAGGGAAAAATTTGGAAAGCCATATCAAAGTCTTTAGTTTGTATATGGATAATAAGACTGAAAGGTACATGCTTAATTTTTATTTTATATACTTCTCTAACATTAGAAAATTTTAAAACAAACATTTATTACTTTTGTAATTAACAAAACAGGCAACAGCAATAAACCCCTATTTTCCCAGTTACCTTCAATTTTCTCACCTGTAAGGCTTTTTCCTTCTCAGCTGTCAGCTCCTGAGAATGCTTGTTTGTCAAGGAGGCTGTGTGGGATGCCCACTCATTGCGCAGCCTGTCTAATTCCTGCATTTTTTCTGATAATGTCTGTATTAGAGTACAAAATGTTAAGATCGCCTCCTGAGTATGTTACACTTCTGATTAGAACGTGGCAATACTTACAAGAATATTAAAGAAAATGAAATTTCAGCTTTTCAACACATATTCAAAAATTTTAAATTAGAGGTAATCAAGATTAGAACAAACTGGCTGAGTAGCTCAAGTGGTAGAGCAACTGCCTCGCAAGTGCAAGGCCTTGAGTTCAAGCCCTAATACCACAAAAAGAAGATTAGAACAAAAGCAATTGTAGACTTAAAATGGTCCACAGGTCAGGCTTAAACTATCTTTAAGCTTTTAGTTACATCTAACTCTTCATCACCAAATCCTCTCCTCTGGCATTAAGAAGTAAAACAGTCCAGGCGGGTGGAGCAAGCCAGGCATAAGGAACAGTTCACTTCTTACACATAAAACCCACGAGAGCCATGTTGTGCAAGAGTATTTTCTGCCTGAAGCCATGCAGCTTACCACACAATCTCGTCCTCAATTTCAAGGACAAGAGGCAAAAATGCAGTAGCTATCACTGACCTCATGGTAAATTCATCAGGAATTAATTCTGGTCATAACAGAAGAAAAGAAGGGAAAGGTTTAGAATACAGGGAACTGAAAAAGCCATTTTAAGCCAGAGGAATGAGATGACTAAAAGGGAAGAAGAGAAAGAACATGTGATAGATACTAAATATTGATTCCTTTAATGAAAACTTATAGAAATTGTGTCATTAATAGGAAGTGACAGATATGTTTGAGTGAAATTAAATGTCTTTAAAAAAAAAGAAAGCATCAGATTAATGTAATTAACTGTTAGGGAAAGGGTAGCAAAAACAAGGGGAAATTAAACAGCATCCTTTTCGTTGTTTCTTGTGGTACTAGAGTTTGAACTCAGGACCTTGTGCTTGCCAAGCACAATCTGGTAGACCAGTGTTAACATTATTTGAAAGAAAAATACACAAAAGTTTAAATGCAATTCAAGAAGCAATTCAGAATGAATGTCTGGATAACTTGCAAGGACAATATGAAACTGGAATTACCTTTTGTGTAACGTTCAGTTGCCTAGTAACATCATCTAGTGATTGCGTCAATAATAATTTTTCTTCCTATTAGTAAAAATAAAATTATGCAGTTTACAATTTAATGCAATCATCTGTAGCCAAGCTACTCAACATGTACCAAAATAAAGCATCAGCACCATCCCAAAGTTTGTTTAAGACATGCAAGAGCTCAGTACCTACATCCCTCCCCCACCCCCGCCCTGCAGTACCGGGGCGTGAACTCAGTACCTCACACTTGCCAGACAGGTAGGTGCTCCACCATTTGAGCCACTGCACCAGCTTGAGATCCCCAGATGACCCGTTTGCTATTCATGTCTGAGATGCACTCATCTATACCATTCAACTGAAAACACTTTCTAAAAGTTCTTGAGTAGCAGCCAGGTACAGTGGCTCTTACCTGAAATCCTAGTTACTTGTGAGGGAGAGATCAGGAAGATCATGGTTCCAGACAAGTCTGGGCAAAAAGTTAGTGAGACTCCCATCTCAATACACATGGGAAGCTGGTCTGAGGCCAGCCTTGTGCAAAAACACAAGACCCTACTTGAAAAATAACTAAAAAAGCAAAAAAGGGCTGGAGGCGTGGCTCAAGTGGTAGAGCGCCTACCTAGCAAGTGTGAGGCCCTAAGTTCAAACCCCAGTACCACCAAAAAATTAAAAAACAAACACAACAGCCCTCCCAAACTCAAGTGGCAACACTATGTTGTCCCCTTGCATCAACGGCCCTGTAGCCCTTTGCAGTATTCAAGGCACATTCACGTATTTTGTGTCATTCAAGATGGCTAGATAGGGTAGGTATTTCCAAACATAGATGGCAGCTGATGGAATTATGACACAAGAGTTTAGGTAACCTGTGTAAGGTCACAGTGATTAGTAAAAACCCCAAGACCTGGGTTTGTCACTTCCTGGTCCAGTTCTATACTTGTATTCTATACTTACACTGTGACTAAATGGAAAACTATAAGTTTATTACAGAAATAAAAGCAACATTGAGCTGTTCAGTCACTTATCAAAATACTCTGGTACTTAGTTTAAAAGAGTAATTTAAATTTAAAAATCTTACCTTGCTACATTTCAAACAGACGGCTAGAAATTTCTTTATCTCTACATCATTTCCAGGTATAAGTTTTAGTGATAGGTGGGTAAGATGCTTAAAAGGATTTGTCTCTACCACATTTAAAAATGCAGGTGAGTTATCCAAAATAGCTGCTGGAGAAACTAACTGTAGCAAAAACCTTTGAAAAGAAAAGTCACATTGTAATACACTTATGAGACCATGAAAGTCTGCCAGTGCATCACCAGCTCCTCCACGTAGAAAGACCAGGGAAGGAGCACACAGAAGTCCCAGGGTGATGTGAAAGGACTCCGAATGTAAAAAGTAATTGTCGGGGAGGTGACTGAACGAGGGCATCCATGAAAGTCCTTAAGTTCATAATGGGAAAGACAAGGAAATAGACAGGAAAAACTAACAACAGAGATTCACTCAACACCACTGGCTACCCAGAGTACCAGCTCCTTACTCTCAAAACCGACAATTTCAAAGTAAGAATTAAGCATTTATCCTTTCCATGTGAACTTTCATAGCATCAAAGAGCCTTAACTGATCAGGAACTTCTTTATAGAATTATGCCTAATAAACATGGAAAGAATGACAGATGTACAAAAGCCTCATTTTGCATCTCCGAATGAAATAACGGATTCAAGTAATAATCATGAGTTGATTAAAACAATAAAAGGTTGATGGAGATTTTATTTTTTGCAGTGCTTGGGATGGAACGCAGGCCTTGTGCATGCTAAGGGAGCACTATGCCATTTAGCTGCCCTCCAGCTCTGATGCTAAACTTTCTAAGGATCAGCATTAGGACCACATCAAAATCTTATTCTTCCCTTTTCCAAGATCATGACAAAACAAATACTTGATGCTATAAGATAATTCAAATAACTTTAGTAGCTTTGTCAAAACATAAAAATTAAGCTCCCCCACCTCCCATACTAGGATTTGAACTCAGGGCCTTGTGCTTGCTAGGTAAGTGTTCTACCATTGGTGTCACAACTCCAGTCCTTAAGTATTTCTGATTTTAATCAAGATTCCTTAAAATCTGAGATTTAACAGAGCCCTAACCACAGTTTTTAAAGTAAACCAGAGTACTTATAATACATGGAAAATATCTTGCCACCCACTAGCTTTCAAGGAAGAGTCTGTCTTGAAAGAAGCTTAGTAATGCAGTGCTCCTGTGCAGCTTACCTTGGGATTTCTTTGGCTTGCTCCTGAGTGCACTGCTGAAGGAGGTCTATAAACTTCTGTGGGAAAGCTAAGAAGTCTACCAGAAGACCTTGCTGGAATTTTAAACTAGCAAAGACAGGAAAAGAAATTGAGTTACTATCTTTACTTACAATTAATACCCTGAAAAGATTACAGAAACTTTATAGACTTAATAAAAATTCAGCAAAAGCTTCAAGTTGCTGAGCTATTTTAAGCAGAAATATGATCTATAAAATATTTTTTAAAGACATCTTAAATAATTACAGAACAAACCAGCCAGTATTTTCACAATAACTAAATGTTCTGAATAGGAATGTATAATTTGAATACATATGTATGACTGGTAAATGTCTTTCAAAGAGAATGGTTACAAATACATTCATAATCTTAAGCAACTTAGTCTAAGGCCCACCTCCTCCCCACCAAAAACAATCAATTACCTTTGAAAGTCATCCTCAGATATAACAAGGTTATACAGAAAAAATGGATCTGTATCATCAGTCAGACGGATAACTAAATCCTAAAAGAAAGATTGTTTTTAATGTTTTCAACAGATCCTCCTCTTTCCTGAAAGTAAAATGATCTGATAACATCAACACATCACAGTTACAATTCAGATAGCTTTGGTTTCTGGGCTGCTTATTTTTTTGTCAGTTTTTAGAGATTCAGACTTTTAAACAGGAGTATACAATATGCTCTGTGACAGCCATGTAGGGTCTGAAGAAGTTAACTAAATTTTATCAGAGATATAGGAAAATTTTGTATTTTCAGTTTCCCCAAAGTTAACTGGTATGGCATTTCAAATGCAGCAAATTTATTAGCAGAACTGAGAATCATCCACCCTACAAAGGACAGAGCATTTGTCTCAGGTAGAAGAGTATCAGGTGACACGTTGCCAAGGCTTCTTGTAAGGACATAGTCTCTCCTATTCCAGGTGGCTACTGACGGGGAGGTCCATCTGTTTTCATTTTCCTAATGAAGTGGGCTCCTTTCATAAAGACTATTTTCTAGGTTGTTAAACTTATGGTGTGATAGATCATCACAGGAGCTAAAGCTGGCAGAAAAGCACACCAAAATTACATACTCCAAAGAACCCTGGTGTGAGGAAAACAGCTACAGGGTAAGGGAGGACTAATAAAGAATGAAGCACCCAGGTTAAGAATAAGTTTGAAATAAAACTCCTATGGTACTAGAAAAACCTAAGCCATTCATTAGAAGTCTAGAAAATGAAGACGTATGGCAGGCATAAATAATAATAAGTAATATAATATATAACCTCCACACTATGAAAATAGCAATTTGGGTATTTGCTCTGCCTCAGAATGCCCTGTTGTTAAGCAGCTTCCATTTAAATACTTCTTGAAATTCACTTTAAGATGCTATTGAAAGAAAAAAAATGTGACGCTACCACTAATACTAGTACATCCTTGAGATGTTCAGGGAAGTCTAGCAAAGAGAACATAGATGCTGTATTTCTCAACTCCCTGAG